AAAGATCCTAGAATGAGCTTGCCATACTAGTTTTTATTTCTGCTTGGATCTTCCACAGCTGTATATCTTCTGTGGTGTTGACAGCTTTAACATTAATCTTTTGTCCACTATACACTATTCATCCTTTGAACTATGCACATAGGACTGAGAAGATGCACACAGAGTGTAGGTATTAAGTGACATATAGAGCCTTTTGCAAACATCCAGGTGCTTCACAGAACTGTACATATATAGAGAGCTTCCTCCACTTCAACATGCAGCCATGTCTGGAGTGAGATGCAGCAACCATTAAAACAGCACCAGTCTGGTGGTGTGAGCTTTTAAATTGCCTGGCTTACTGGTGGTGAGTTATCTTGAATTGCACTGCTTTTACTATATATTTTTAAGCTACGTTAAGGTTACCTCAAGTGTATGGGTAGGCATCCTTTTTAGCATTTCTATAAATGTAATAAATCAATCAATAAATATCTTACCTAGCTAAACTGGAAGGGGAATTTAAGTAAGTAAAATATCCCTGTCCTACCCCCCCAGATCACAAAAGTCTTACACTTGGAGGTTTCATATCCAGATCTGATGCTTTCCAAATTTTGGGGTGTTCTGATTCAGCCCAAGCTACCATCTCCAATCTGAACCTGGATCCAGAGCTGAGATTTTGAGTTTGGGTCTACCTTTAGCTGAGACCCCACTGGTTAACAATCCTGTTCTTGTGTTAAATGTAATTGTGTTAAATGTAATTTTTACGGACCACAGCTAATCAAGGTTTCAGTAATAAGGCTTGGCTGAAAGACAGCACCTCTAGCTGCCTGCTCGTCCTTTAGCACAAGTGTTCTCAACCATTTTCATAACGTGGAATACATTTGAATACAGAGACTGTTTAGTGGGCCTACCTCCCCTACCATTCACAATTCCTTAACATCCACGGGGTGACTACATTAGCTGCATGAATGAAAAAAAAACAGGAAAATATTTAATATATTTTAAACGCAATTTAGCAATTGGAAATAAGGCAGAACCAATAAAGCATGTTCTCAGAGAGCTGGGTGGTCACAAGTGGCCCCCAGACCATAGTCTGGCAAACTCTGCCCTAGCACCAGGCTGGCATATCAGTTCAGTAATGGAGGGAAGAGTGACAATTACTAAATCAACACCACCATTGCCAGCTTGCATGTAGGTTTTCCCTTGGAGGCCTTCTAACCAAGTCCTGACCAGGTCTGAGCCAGCTTAGTTCTTTAGGTCTTTTGACCTATCAAACTGAATTGCTTATAATTTTTCCACACAGTCCCCAGAGGACTGGATGGGTGTTTTGGCGATATAAATACAGAAGCAAATAGTTAATCCAATCTGACAAGTCCACAGCCTGAGGTGGCATAGCTGTAGGCTATCAATGTGCCACTCTTACAGGCACATTTCTGTATGTAAAAATACTTGCAAATAGATCCAGAATCATCTAATAGGCAAAAAAATCAAAGACCCTTGATGCTAACTTGCCCGGTGCTGCTAAAGTGTTTCCTCCTATATTGATTTTACATTTTAAAATGAATTTGTTTAGACTCTGTTTGTGTCTACCTAGCAAACAAGTGCACCAGCAGGAGTGTTCATGGACACTAAATTTTAAGGCAACATTGGAAAAAAATTCATGGGAGGTAAATTTTTAATCTGCAAATGTGTTAGCCCTGGAAATCTGATGCTAAGAATTAGGCTTATTCAGGCCCCAATTCAGCAAGGTACTTAAGCATGTGTCTAGCTTTGAAGAAGTGAGGCATCCCACTGACTTGAATTGAGGGCCTCAACACACATGAAGGGCTCCAGTCACAACAGTGAGAATGCTCATGGTGCTTATTTGACACTCCTCCATCTCTTGTATAAGACAAGTCTCACTTGAGCTCAGCCCTTGCCTGCTCATCCAGTAGGACACTGGGAGACAGTCTACTGAGTTACCTCTCATTTCCAGCCATTGTTTATTTCCCACATGAGAAACACTTTGTGCTGTTGCAAGCTCCTTAAGGTAGGCATCTTAGCTACCCCATGCTCTGACCAGTGCTGACCAGGTTGGCAGCATGCAACAAATACTTAATTCACACTAGAACCGTTTATTTGTGAATTTCCTTTGACGGTTAAATAACAAACAAACAACAAAAAAGTCTCTCTCACATCTTGATTACTCAAGAAAACAGCATCACTATTCCAGGCTATCAGGTAAATTTGCAAGTAGGCATTTTAAAAGCCACATGATGTATCTGATCAAATATTTACTGTGAATACCACATGCATTTTGCTGAACATGTTATGTCCCTGATAGACTGTAGAAGCTTCTTTGGGTGTATTCTTCACATATCTACACATTCTAATGTATGGTATTTTGAGTAAAACTGCATTCAGGTACTTTTTTCTATAGTGAATATTTGGCCTGATAGATGTGCAGGACTCCTAAAGAGATGTTCTGCTCTATCATGTTAATCCTCCTTAGTTCACGGATTATTGACCTAATCAACAATGACAGCCCCTTCAGAGCCATTGCATCTCATTGCATTAATCTGGCTGTCACACATGCTTGATAAAGTGAACAGCCTCCATACAGTGAGCACGTATAACTTCATCAACCTTAACAGCAGGTACACAAGACCACCCATAGTGAAATCCACCCTGTGCAAAGGGACAACACAAGGCCTATGTGCCAGTTAAGTCCCCAAAATAGACTTTAAATAGGATTTAAGTGGTTCATAGACCTTGGGCTGGCTCTGCATGTGGATTTCACCACAACATAGCAAATCCCTTTGTCTGAATGGGAAAAAAATCAGTACATATTTTCAGTGTTGAAAGATAGGGACAGATCCTGAACCCAGACTTCTGTCCACTTTGCATCAGCAGTAAAGAGACAGAGAGCTGTCCTAGCATAGCACTGAGTCCTCCTTAGGCTGCTCTAAGCTCCTGGGGGAACTGTTTTGGGCCCGAGCATCAGGGTAGCAGAAAGGTGGCATCAAGTCACATCCCTCCCCCATGTGCATGTACAAAAACTAAATAAATCAAAATGCTGAAACAAGACAAGTCAGTAATTTGGTGGTTTCCCCTCACAGATACCTAGAAGCAGCGAAATGAAAATTAACACACAGTCCCAAATTCTAGTTCCTAGCCTGAGCTCCTGCACATTGATGTGAGCTTCTGGTAAGACATGGAGTAAGGAACTCATCCAAAGCCCATTCAAGTTAATTAATGAGAGTCTTTCTATTGATTTCAAGGTGCTTTAGCTCAAGTCATGAGTGCCCTCAGTTCCCACTGAAACAAAGCTGAGGGTGACCAGCAACTTGCCAGATTCTAGCTGAGGTACTTGCCTGCCCTCTGTTACCAGAGCATTTGATTTGAGTATCACACAATCTGTAATGTACTTATCCTCACAATACCCTTAGGAGGTAGGGCAGTGCTGTTACATCCATTTGACTGATAAGGAACTAAGACACAGAGAGACTAAATGATTGGCTGAAAAGAAGGAAGCCTGTAGGATAGCAGGGAATTGATGCCTGGTCTCCCAAGTCTCCGGCTAGCAACCTGCCCATGGGCTAGCCTTTCTTTCAGCTAGACTTTGATGTACAGATCATAAAAAGGTAATGCTATTCTGAAGGTTAAAGCAGAAGGGAAGCACTTCTGGTTTTTGGAAGTATAATAGGTTTTGGAAATGTTTTAAACACAGGAAGGCATTTATTGGGTTAATTACAGAGCTGCAGCATTATCACACTATGGTCATGCCATATAGTCAAAGTGTAGGGAAAGAAACAGAGAGCAAAGAGTCAGGAGTCCATTGAAATATAGGATTAATGAGTGAATTTTAGTCTAAGATCCCATAGGAAGGTGGTTAACAACTTACAGACCAACAGCAGTTTCATATAAAATAAACATCCCTCCATAGATTCCCCCTATTGTAACTAAGAAATCTTTTAATGGAAGCCCTTAACTGGAATCTGCCAGCTCTCAGAACCAGAGTAGGCTCCTGAGCTACTCCACACTTTCAGGAAGAAGAGATCTTCTCAGCTATGCTACTCCCCCCAGGCTAAACTAAACTCTTGAGGTGTACTAAACTCACAAGCCCGAATGAGCTTTCTCAGGACTGGGGGCAGACTTCTAACACAACTGACCTCCTATGCTAGAGAAACCTATCTGACCTGAGCCAGAGCTCTGTAACTGAAATCAGCCCCTTCCCTGTGGAGCAGGCTTTATAGTCTGTTAGCCCCGGGTTCTAGCCAATTGGGTTCCTCCACCTGACTCAAAATGGAGTCTCACAGCTAACAACAAACACCACAGCTTCCCCTGCTCCCAGGAAAATCCTACCAATGCATTGTTTACCTCTCAGTTATTTCAGAATAAAGGCAATTAAGAGAAGGAATAAAATAACAATAGTAATAAACCCCATAGAGTGCACCTTATGTTTGTTCTTCTTAGCAATCATTAAAGGATTTGAATATACATAGGTCCAAGGGGAGGGATATAGAGCCTTCTGCCCCTTGTCCCTTGTGGGGAATATTGGCATTTTGTGCTTGGGAAGAACAAGGACTGCTTCCTCTATGCACTCCTAGGCTGGCTGCAAAGGGCAAGCAGGGAAGAGGTGGGGATATGGCTCTGTTAAAACTTCTGTATCAGTCTATAGAGCTAGCCCAGCACACAAGGGAAAGCAGCTGCACTGTGTCAAAGGAGACTGGGGAAATCAAGGAAGCACAGTGGTTCTAGGAGTCATGTTACCTCCCAGAGCTCTTCCTGGGCCAGTAACCAGCTGCATGTCCCTGTACTCAGGGCTGTAGCTAAATACCACAATTGCCTACACAGTAGCAAAGCTGCTGCAGAATTTTCAATGTATATTACCTGTCAGTTGTCTGCTCTGGCACAACCATCTCTATCTAGAACTGCAAAATGCGATCACAAATTAAACATCTACTTCCCAAATATGTAGTTAGTGTATATTTTTCCTTTGAAATATATTTGCAATTTAAATGAATCCATTTAGACACTCTGGCTACACATTTGCCATATCTTTATTGCACTTTTACCACATTGCAAACAATTCCACAAAAATGCTGCAAAAGTAAGCCTAGAAGCTGCCGAAAGCAGCTTTTACCCATATATGTATATATTTACACAAAACTATCAAAAGCAAAGTTGGAAAAGTAACAGCCCTACTACGATAGTCTAGAAAGATCAGAGCTGCTCCTTTCTTATGGATAAATAGTACAACTTGTCATTTTACATCACTCTGTAAAACCAACATTCAAGTATTCTTGTCAATGCACAGTTATCGAAATCCCCTTCCAGCTAATCACGGTACTTATTATTGTTGTGGCTGTTAGTTTTGCTTTTAAAAAGTTCATGTGTCTTAACCCTTTAAATGCTGAGTAGTTGAAAAACAAAGCATTCAATTTAAAGTAGGTACAGTGAATGAGAGCACTTAAAGGGTTAACACAAATACTAAGTGGACTGTCACCAAGATTAAATTGTGAGTCACAAAACTATGCTGTCCCTCTTTTGTTAAATTTGGTAGGTAGGTGCCTGTGGTTTTCACAGATATACCATATATAAATACAAAATATTAAATAAAGGCCTCCTTTCTATACAAAAAGAGTAGGAGGTGTTTTGCCACCAGACTAGCGTCACCTGTCAGTGACCTCAATATTTTCCAAACCTTTTCATATTCTGATTTAGGAACTATTTAAAAGCATCACATTAGACTTATTTTTCTTAATTAACTAATCCTTCACAGAGTCTACACTTTACCTACTTTGGGAACAATTATATCTCATTTTTGAATTCATTGAATTCACAAAGTTGCATACACAGTCTTTTGCAAGACTTTTTTATCTTCTTTACTTAGCTAGTAAAAATGCAGTCATGTGATTTCACTACCTCTTGGTTGTAATAGTGTTAACATCAGTGTCAAAGTCATTTTCAACCACATTAACATAACCATCTTTTTCTATACAGTCACTAACAGCTTTGAGAACAATCCGTAGCCTCCTGTCCATTGCCTCTAGGTGTAGCTGGTAAAGGATGGGTGCAACTTTATCTTTTAGTAGAGATTCCTCCATCAAGTGACTTAGTTTGTATTCCTCCTTGGCTAATAACTGTAATCGCAGATAGGTAGACTTCCTTATTCTAGGAATGAAGGAAAAAGAGTAAATCAGTATTTGAGTTACACTTATTACATGTGGCATAAAAGACAGAATTGAAATAATCCTTCTCATGATAACGTGGAAGACACTGACATAAGAAAACATGGTACACACGTAATATGTCAGGCATATATTCTTAACGAATGGCCAACATTTTCAAAAGTCTTTAGTGGTTTTGGGTGGCTCAATTTTTAAATGCCCTCTTGAGATGTATTAAAAAGGCCTGATTTTCAGAAAGTGCTGAGCACCCATCATCTGAAAATTGATCCCCTTTAAAGTTTCTCAGGCTGGGCACCCAAAAAGTAAGGCACCCAGTATCACTAGTCACATCTGAAATTCTGGGCCAGTGACATTAAGGATAAAATTTCCAAAACTCTTTAAGTGAGTTAGGAACCTAAGTCCCATTTTTCAAAATGTCCTTAGGTCAAAGAGACTTGACAATCACAAAAAGTTGAAGAAATCAGAAGTTTGCTCTGGTAGTAACTGAAACAGTTTTGCTGAAAATCTCTTTCTACTGATGCAAATGAGGCATGTACATGAAAAAAAGACTTTGAGTAACATTTCAAAGTGCTTAAATGGCTTAAGAGCCCAAGTCTCATTTTCAAAAGGGACTTAGGTGCCGAACTCTCTCTGAAATCAGTGGGATTTAGGCTCCTAAGTGCCCAAAGAGCATCAGTGCAGAACTTTTTAACAAGAACATACTGCCCATAGCTTTTAAATGAAATTTCATGGAAGACTAAAACCAACATTTAGAGACGATTTCTGTGCCCAATAAGCAAGCATTTAAAAAAACCCACAAAACAATTAAGCTGGAAAGACATGCATATGAACTTCTCAGGCAACTACAGTACATGGGTAGTGGTGTACAATCTGCATCTTAAATCTCCTCTTCTAGGTCGAGCTCAGCATGGTGCACATCTAGATGGGAAATCCATAGACGGAAAACCTCTTTTGCATCTGTTTTCACCACATTTGACTGTTGTCACTGCCTCAGCTTTGTAAGCGCCAATTAAACAAACAGATTGTGTTGGTCAACAATAGACGCCCAACAATACCCAGAGCACCTTAAATGAGTGGTTTATTAAGCACATGGCTCACTCCTGAGCATTTCAGTCCTGCCACCTGAAAAAACACAGGGCTCATTACAGATTAGGAATAAATCCCAAAATAAAACATACCTGCAGCACTGGTTTAAAGGCACCAATATGGAGAGTTCATCATGGGAATATTTTCCAAACCTATTGAAAAATAAAGGATGAAATGAAAAAGGGTATCTCAATGTCTAATTCAGATCTGTGTCTTTTCATTCCAGAAAACTAAAAAAAGCTCTTTAGGTATATATGGCCTGCTCAGTGAAGGCAATGGGAGTTTTGCCACTGGGTGTACGATCAAGGACTGACAAGATGGGGAAAAAGGGAGACAATTGTACCAAGTCCCTGAGCTTAGCTCCCCCCCCCCCCCCCCCCCCCCCAGACATCTGTGATTGGGGTGAAATGTGGGTGAAGTGGGAGCGGGTGGGGCCCCAGCAAAAATGATGTACCAGAGCCTCACATTTTTCTCAACAGGCCTTTTCAAGCCAAAGAACAAAACAAAGATTGTGTCTTAAATTGATGGGGATTTACTATTCTGGGTGAAAATTGAATGTAGGTAAATTATATTACCAGAGCAGAAGAATAGTTTTATGATTAATGAACAGGACTGAGGCTCAGGACATCTGGGTTCAGTCCCACCTGTACCACAGCCTTCCCCTATCAGCTCAGGTAATTCATATAATCTCTCTTGGTCTCAGTTCCCCATCTGTGAAATGGGGATAATAATACTTCCTTTCTCACACTCTTTGTCTTATCTATTTATATCAGAAGCTCTTCAAGACAGGTCTGTCTCATATCTATGTTTGTACAGCATCTAATCCTATGGATCCCTGATTTCAGTTAGGGCCTCTAGACATTGCTGTAATACTAATAATTAATAATGTATATATTGAAATGTATAAATTATCTCCATAGCTGTGTTGTCATGAAGTTAGTCTGGCCAAAATTATTCCATTGATCAATAAAATTATTAACATATTTACCCTCTTCCATTATCTAAGTGGATAATAAATGTTTCATTTCCAAACTTTTCAAAGGTTTCATAGTGATGTCGATCCATGTTTCCTAGAGAATAATAAGAAGAAGAACAACAATGATAATAATAATAGTGATAATAATGATAGAACAAAACACCACCACTCTGCACTGTTATTCCTAAAGTTTTGTTGCGGGGAATGCAAATCGGCAGATAGTCCAGAAGCTGCTTATTTCAGCCATGATCAGAATATTTCTGACTTCCTTAGTTATCTATGAAAAATTATTGTAGTTAGTCATTATTAGCTATGAAAAATGCTAAAAGATCTGGCAAATTACAGAAGAAGATATTTTTGTTCAATACTTTTAGCTTGATTCTATATTCTCTTCCAACTGAGGACTTTGCACATCAATTGGGAACTCTTTAATATTTATTTCTTTTGATTTATTAAAAATATCACTCTCCTTTCATTTGGAAGCTTTTATATAATTTACAATGTACATTCTCATATAACAACAGATGATACATTTCTCGTACCATTTTTGAGGGCTAAATTATGATTTGCCCTGTGTAAGCCACAGCGCATAGGTGCTCTACGAATCATGATCTGGTTTCTAGGTCCCTCTCTCCTGACAGCCCTATCTCTAGTGCAGGCTACTTCTAGTATTCTGGCTAGCTGGCACATTTATGAGAACGAGGCTTGTCTCCAGCCACTCCCACCTTTGCCTGCCCATTCGCCACCCATATGTGTGGGCAGGGGAAGTAGCAGCTCTACAGAGCTCACTCTCCCCCATATGCTGAGACCCACCACACAGGCAGCCCAAGGGGATAAGAGATTTTTGTGCTCCCTTATTCCCCTGTGCAGGTGTATAGGGCAAGCCCTAAATAATTAACCTCCCAGCAAACCCTGTGAAATCCCCAGCATCCCCCTCGGAATTCCTCATCTTCAAAAGGCTTGGAGAAAAGATGAGCGTTTCAACCCGTTTGTGATTAACATATCCAAACTCTGGAGGACCAAGCGAGAGGAAGTGAATTCCCTCACTGAGAATGCCCTGCCAGCTACCCGGTCTCTGTTATAATGAGGGGTTCTGCTCAAGCACCTCAGCTGACCTCAACTTCACAGGGAGACAATCTCCGAAGTAACCAAGTCCTAAACCAGTAAGACCTTTTACAGTTAAAATCAACACTGACGCTCCACCTCCCAGGCAGCCAGTGAGCTCACAAAGCACCAATATTGTATTCTCTTGGTGTGAAGCTCTACTCAAGGAGCCTGTGTTTACACTGGACAAAATGTATCCCATTAGAAAAGGCATTAACTAACATGACTTAACTAACCTGATGTTAAACACGACTTAGTGTCCAGGATTAACCATGACCAGCTAAACCCAGTGTTCTTATCTACACTAAGGGTGAAATAATATTTAATGTCATGCTAGCCAAATTTAGGCTGCTAGATAAGAGACTGAAGTCCAGGACCTCCATGGTAGCATTCTCTGAAATGTTTCCAGTTCCTCACGCAGAGCCAGTTAGACAGATAGAACTGTAGGGTCTCAATGCGTGGATGAGACAATGGCGTAGGAAGGAGGGGTTTAGATTTATTAGGAACTGGGGAAACTTTTGGGAAAGGGGGAGCCTATACAGGAAGGATGGGCTCCACCTAAACCAAAATGGAACCTGATTGCTGGCACTTAAAATTTAAAAGGTCATAGAGCAGTTTTTAAACTAAGGGCTGGGGGAAAGCTGACAGGAGGATCTATTAATGGAGATTCTCTATGTCCTAGTAAAGAGGAGAGGATGGAAGATGATAAAATACAGGAAGGGTCTGATGAGAAACAGTCAAATGAAAAAGAGTCCCATTCTGTAACGGCAGACAGCTAAAAAGTTTTTGAAGTGCTTATATACCAATGCTAGAAGTCTAAATAATAATATAGGTGAACTAGAGTGCCTCATATTAAATGAGGATATTGATATAATAGGCAGCACAGAAACTTGGTGGAATGAGCATAATCAGTGGGACACAGTAATACCAGGATACAAAATATATCAGAAGGACAGAACAGGTCGTGCTGGTGGGGGAGTGGCACTATACGTGAAAGAAAGCATAAAATCAAACGAAGTAAAAATCTTAAATGAACCAAACTGTACTATAGAATCTCTATGGATAGTAATTCCATGCTTGAATAATAAGAATATAGCAGAAGTGCTATATTACAGACCACCTGACCAGGATGGTGATAGTGACTGTGAAATGCTCAGGGAGATTAGAGAAGCTATAAAAATAAAAAAACTCAATAATAATGGGGGATTTCAACTCTCCCCATATTGACTGGGTACATATCACCTCAGGGCGGGATGCAGAGATAAAGCTTCTTGACACGTTAAATGACTGTTGCTTGGAGCAGCTGGTCCTGGAACCCACAAGAGGAGAGGCAATTCTTGATTTAGCCCTAAGTACAGCACAGGATCTGGTCCAAGAGGTGAATTTAGCTGGACGACTTGGTAATAGTGACCATAATATAATTAAATTTAACATCCCTGTGGTGGGGAAAACACCACAGCAGCCCAACACTGTCACATTTAATTTCAGAAAGGGGAACTACACAAAAATGAGGAGGTTAGTTACATTGAAATTAAAAGGTACAGCACCAAAAGTGAAATCTTGGCAAGCTGCATGGAAACTTTTGAAAGACACCATAATAGAGGCTCAACTTAAATGTACACCCCAAATAAAAAAACAGTAAGAGAACCAAAAAAGTGCCACTGTTGCTAAACAACAAAGTAAAAGAAGCAGTGAGAGACAAAAAGGCATCCTTTAAAAAGTGGAAGTTAAATCCCAATGAGAAAAATAGAAAAGAGCATAAACTCCGGCAAATGAAGTGTAAAAATATAATTAGGAAGGCCAAAAAAGAATTTGAAGAACAGTTAGCCAAAGACTCAAAAAGTAATAGCAAGAAATGTTTTATGTACATCAGAAGCAGGAAGCCTACTAAACAACCAGTGGGGCCACTGGACCATCGAGATGCTAAAGGAGCACTCAGTGAAATCCATGGTACACCCATAGCTTGAATACTGCGTGCAGATATGGTCGCCCCATCTGAAAAAAGATATATTGGAATTGGAAAAGGTTCAGAAAAGGGAAACAAAATAGTTAGGGGTATGGAACGGCTGCCATATGAGGAGCGATTAATAAGTCTGGGACTTTTCAGCTTGGAAAAGAGACGACTAAGGGAGGATATAATAGAAGTCTATAAAATCATGACTGGTGTGGAGAAAGTAAATAAGAAAGTGTTATTTACTCCTTCTGATAACACAAGAATTAGGGCTGAAATTAAATAGGCAGCAGGTTAAAACAAACAAAAGGAAGTATTTTTTTTAAACAACGCACAACCAGAGGATGTTGTGAAGGCCAAGACTATAACAGGGTTCAAAAAAGTACTAGATAAGTTCATGGAGGATAGGTCCATCAATGGCTATTAGCCAGGATGGGCAGGGATGGTGTCCCTAGCCTCTGTTTGCCAGAAGCTGGGAATGGGCAACAGGGAATGGATCACTTGATGATTACCTTTTCTGTTCATTTCATCTGGGACACCTGGCATTGGCCATTGTCAGAAGACAAGATACTGGGCTAGATGGACCTTTGGTCTGACCCAGTATGGCCGTTCTTATGTTCTTAGTTAGACATGTTACTTGGCATGTTTTCTAACATCTTGCTCTCAGTGGGCAGCTGCAATCTGTACTGGCTTCAGTTTCCAAGTGGTCTCAAGCTGTAGCCCCATGTTCAGTACATTACAGCAGGCCTAGGATATGTTACTCTTGTCTAGTGTTTGTAAGTATTTTATTACTGAATGGGTTGCACATAAAAAAAATACTGTTTTTGGTGTGTTCTCCATCTTTCCTGATTGAGAATCAATAGTCCTCTGTTTATCTACCACACCTTATGCACTAGCACACAGGTGTACAGAGATCTACCAATAATGTACAGCCTGGACATGTACATGTAGAAAGCATCCATTACAACAGAATGACATTCACTGTAAACTGTGTTGCAGAGGCTCTGAATTTCCATGAAGAACATTTCATGTGACTGTCAAAAAGGACATTATTCATTGTGCTTATTTACAATATAGTTCTATAAATCTTTGTTCTTTTAATCTGCACTGATGCAAATATGTCTAAATAAATGTGCAATATTTCACAATTACCCAAATTGCACATACAAGTATTTGCAATTCTAGGTGTGCATCAGAAAATTGCTGAACTATACAAAACACTGTCTGGAGAACTGGTTCTTACTATAATTAAACACTGCATTTAATTTTAAAAGATCTGAAACATACCCATTAGAAAATCAAAAATGGTCATATCCATTATATCCAAAATTCTGGTCCCACTGTCATAGGGTGGTGTTTGTTTAACTTCTTCACAATAATCCGGATCAACTTCCCATCTGGAAAAGAGATATTGTTGATTATTTATATCTGATCTAAAAGTTACTAAGTATAACAAAACCTTTCAAAGATTTGTACTGCAGTGGGTTAGGATTAGCACATGTACAACCAACTCTACAGGCTATTTTAAGCAATACAAATTCTGATAAAGATTGTGCCTGATGAATTAAGGTAAATTTTCTAGAATTCCTAGAAGAATCATGAGTTTAAGGAAAATATCTGGTTCCCAGATCCAAAAATTAGGAGATCAGGTGTGCCTTCTAAGTAATTACAAAGTCAGATATCTAAACTACTCAACACTTGTTTAGGACTGATTGGTTCACTACTGGACACAGATACAGGCCTTGATCCTGAAAAGACTTATGCAAGTGCTTGTCTTTAGACATGGGCATAGTCCCACTGAAGCCCATTCAAGGATCAAGTGTTTCTTGCAGATTCTAAATATTTCCCCCCCCCCAAGTACATCATTGTCTAGGGGCCTGATTTAATGCCCACTGAAGGCAATGAAAAGGCTCCCACTGACTTCAATGAGTTTTGGATTAGACCTCTGCAGAATTTGTGTTTATTTTTTAATTAACCACTGCTTATATCCTACCCAGCAATACATTAGCTCTGCTGCTGGAAATCCCTTTGGTCTCCACTACTCACTCTGCTTTCTTGCGTTTATGGTAGGAGCGCCGCCATGGATTTCTCCAGGTTTTCCTTTTAGCTAAAGACAGGTCAGGTAGGAAAGCAGCGAGAGAACCTTCGATCTGATCTGGTTTTCCACAAAGAGCATGCTCGGTTGAGCAGTAGTATGAGCACTCGCCATAGAAACAGATGTTGTTTGCTGACAAAGGAAGGGAAACATCTGAAAACTTTCTCTTTTATTAGTCTTTTAGAGTAGGTAAAACACATAGAAATACACAAACAACCATGAACAAATATACGATCCTGACTCAAAGCCTACTGATGGCTGTGGTAGTCTTTCCATTGCCTTCAATGAGCTGTAGGGGCCTGATCCAGTGTCCACTGAAGTCAATGGAAAAGTTGCTATTGATTTCAGTGGTTTGGAGCGGGGCCTGGATCAAGCCCTCTGTGAATATTTCCAATTTATGTAAAATAAAAAATAGTTTCCTCTACACTTTTCCAACTTCAATATGCCTTTTGAGCAATATTAGTCCCTACAGACACTGACGGTAAGCTCTAGATTTAACATAATTCCCTCAAATACAGTACCTGAACATTAGATAATAACCAATATTGCTAAGAGTTTGCTCAGCACTTTCTGGAAATCAGGTCCCTTTGATATGTCTCAAGTTGGGAACCTAGAAATTAAGGTATTCAAAATCAATAGTCACTTTTTAAAATTCTGTCTCATTTCTTTGAACACTGACAGCATTTTTTGGTATAAGATGTTTTCATTTTTACAAGGGAGAATTGTTTGTGATACTTACCCAATTTTCCAGGGAATCAGAGCACTAGCTTTGGCAATAGATATCTTAAATTTCCTCTCTGCATGCTGCATTATTCCATTAGCCAACAAACAGAATGCCTCAACAGCAACTTATCATATTTTACAGGGTCTAGTACTTTAAAATCTCACAACTACCATCATATATTTGAGTTGTACTAGGAGTGCCGTAATCCACTTCCCAAGGGAATACACTAGAAGGCTGAAGGATGAGTACTTTACCCCACGAAAGAAACCCAGATTATTAGCAAGAAAAGCAGAGTGATGGTCCTATCATTGCTGTTTTACTACAGGGCTTTAAAAATTTGCTTTGCACAAATGTGTAAAATATAAGTTGTGCAAGATTGTGTCCTCTCCTTACGCTACTGTGCCACAGAGATAAGGAGTAAGAAGCTCCACTCTTAGTACAGCTCACCACAAGGCCACGCAGCGTAGCACCGCTGGGCTTGAGTGCTGGTTGCAGAGTTGCTCTTCCTAGGGAGCAACTCACTGAAAATGGGGCAGGGAAGGGTGAAGCCAGGGCTCAAACACACACATCCCTTCACAGGCTGGCCTGCAGAACCTGCTGTCTGCACAGGCAGCTCCGTGCTACACTGTAAAGAAGTGTGGCTAGTTACTTTCCCCCTAATGCCGTAGGACAGTTCAAGGTCTCTGAGGCCAAATGCCTCCTGGAGCTTGCTCTGCGGTGGTGCAGCTCTGTATAACCATTTCGTTGGAGCTCTGTGCTAATGGCATGATCTAACCCCATAGCAAAAGAAAGCATCCAAAGTGGAAACAGAATAGTGTGTGGACATAAGGTAGGTAATGCAATGAGGAGAAAAGGTAGGGAGGAAGAATGCTGGCACTGTACTGTCAAGGACCACATTGCATGTTTAAAGAGGACACTCCCTCAGACAGATGAAGAAGCTACAATAATGCTGATGTGTCCTTTTGTAAAGTAAGGCTGAACATACTTTTAAATTCAGGAGACTATGAAAGTGCAGTAAGCTTGTGATGATTCCTTTACTGATTGGAATTGCTCAGGTCTATTATTTAGAGGACAGACTGATTACCATGAAATTGTCTCAAACAATCAGAGTGCAGGGTTGATGGATTATTACTTAACAGTTTTTCCTAGTTATTCATTTCCAAGCATTTTGGTTGTGGGCATCCGATTTGTGCATTAACCCTATGGTTATTACTCAGCGGCCACATATCATGCAAATCCCTGTACTCTGATAGGCTGGCATCCATTATTAGTCAATGAGGGTACATGAACAATTCCCTAATTGTCATATATCGTGTCCTCAATGTTTACTTACATTGGCTAAGTCCCTTCTGATTTGGTTCCGAAACACAATGTAAACAAATATATATTATGTTTATCCTGAGGGCAAGAGCCTTTTTGACCAGTAGAAAGAGAGAGAGAGAGAGACAAAAAAACAGTAAAAGAAAAAAAATGAAGAGGAGAAATGATAATGGGGGGAAAGAAGAGCCAAAAAGATATTTTTGAACTTGAAATAATAATAATAAAAATCTTATGGCAATTTGAGCACCCTTCCTTTTAAAAAATAGTTTTTCCTTTCATTTAAAATGTGAGCATTGCCTTAACAATTTCAGGATAAAAATAATAACTTCAGGAGATTTCCCGTAACTCAGAAATAACCACATCCTTGGCTGATAAACCCCTTGGGTTGATTATTTCCTATAATCACCTCAGCCTTCAGTCTTGCTGCGTGTTCAACAAAGGATATGATAAATAGATTTCAAACAGGAATAACACTCAATTTATCCTTTAAATAACTTGAAACAGTCCTGTAATTCATATCTATACACTGGCACCTTTGGAAAATATCTTTCACATTGCATAGTAATACAGATCTATCTATCTAATCTATCTATCTATCTATTCTACAATTTAGCTTAAAAGTAAACTACTATAGGCCACAACATCAGGAGCCACAGTCTAAAATGTGTACGGGGGTTTATTTCCTCTCTTAAGGCTCTCCTCCAAACTGCCACTGTAGTGCTAGTCTGGCTGCAGTTTTCCACAAGGCTACACATGCACTGAAGCTTTTTAGCTTTGCCTTTGATCACGACTGTTAAATCAGGAGGGTTTCATGCGTCCATCTGAATTTTTTTCATAATCCATAATGAAAGGGGGATGTGGTCTGAACATTGGCTAAATGCTACGGTAAGCTGCAGTGAACTAGGAAACTGGATTATCGCATTGTACTAGGCAGTGGTACTATTAGCTAATAACTCCTGAGGAAAAACATTTGAGATTATGCCTTTGAAAGAAATTAATCTAGACAAACTATTGCAATAGACACCAGGCTAAACACAAAAGAAGATTTGCACAAAATCACACACAGGATCAGATTGTGATCCTTGCTGTAGGATAAAATAGGGGAGTGAGGGGACACAAAGAGACCCCTTGCCTTCCCCCATGCTTCCTACCCATATTGAAGGGGGCAGTGCAGTGGGAAGAACAGCCACCCTCTAGCTACTACTCCCCATCCTGTACTGGTGGGCATGGAGTGCGGAGGGCAGGAGCAGGGAATGGGCAGACCCTTGGCACAGCTTACTTCCTCCACGGGAAGTCAGAATTGGGTCTGTGCTCTCAGGGGTGGTGCTAGGCATAAGCAGACTACGCAATTGCTTAGGGCCCCAAGCAGATTAAGTGGGCTCTGCTGTAGTATTACCCCCAAACAACCCTTCATCTTATTTAATGTGGACTTTTTAACAAGTGTATTCGTATGTGTTGTGTTGGTATATTTATTGGTTTGAGGAAATAATACAATTAGTGTTTTAGGGGGAGGGGCAAGGGCCCCCCAGAAAGATTCCTGCTTAGGCACCCCAATGGCCTAGCACCACTTCTGTGTCTGCTCCTGGGTCAGCACAACTGTGCGTTGCCCCATACTTGGGGCAGATCGTAAGATTGCCATCTAGCCCCCATGTTTTAATTTAGTCGAGTGCCAGCGTTGCCTGTTCATTTGCTGATGTGGATAATCCACTGATATTTGTCTTGATAGTTTGAGATACTTTCTCTTTAAAGTCTACATGAATCTGCTTACACCTGGAGGGAGGAAACTTATCATCCGCTATCCTGAACCATAACTGTTTTGTAAAGAGCAAAAGACACAACGATGACATTCGTCTGCTGTCATATTTGCCTTTCTTAGGCCTGGTCTACACTAACACCCCAATTCGATCTAAGGTACGCAACTTCAGCTACGTGAATAACGTAGCTGAAGTCGACATGCCTTAGTTCGAATTTACCGCGGTTCAGACACGGTCCACACGCGGCAGGCAGGCTCCCCCGTCGACTCCGTGGTACTCCTCTCGCTGAGGTGGAGTACCGCAGTCGACGGCGAGCACTTCCTGGTTCGAATTATCGCGTCCAGACCAGACGCGATAAATCGAACCCGGAAGTTCGATTGCCAGCCGTCGAACTACCACGGTAGTGTAGACCTGGCCTTAGAAAGGAATGACATCAAATACCACACTTTGTACTGCAGGATGAATGAGAGTATGACTTGGAATCAACAGAATGCAGTCAGCAGCTTTCCATATTGTTAGTGCAAGCAACCGGGAATAATAATTTGGCATTCATCACGTAGGAGTATCTAAATAAATCCACAGCAAAGTTTCTGGCATATCACCACAATCACATCAACCGCTGCATGGGATGACAGAGCTAACACGAGACGTGCTGGCTGCACTGTGCTTTCCAATCAATCATTGTTCTTATTGGGGCATATCCAGCTATTGATTTTTACACAGAACTCCCATTGACTTCAATGGTCGTCCCATGCATTGAAGGATGGCAGGATATGTCCTGTTGTTAGGACAACAAATCTGAACCAAACCCACAAGAGTATTTCTTGGTGATAAGTTACAGTCAATAACAAGGCCTTTACTGCCACCAATTGCATTCTCTGTTGGCCCAGACTTGTGGCCCATAGTTCCATTGGCTTCAAAAGGCTTGCGCAGGGGACTGCAGGATTCTGGCACTGTAGCTCACATTTTAGCATCGTTGAAATGAGAGAAATGCGTTGTGCAAATCTCTTATGAATGGGCGTTTTGCCATTAAAAATATTTCTACTGCTTCTTGCATGCAGGGACTGAGGCGAGGTTGGGTTATATTATTATGGGGGTATATCTCTCTGAATAGCATTCTTCAAAAGGATTTCTTAAAAAAAATATTCAAAAACACGGATGCCGAATATTTGTAATAATCCACAAGCCCCGTTAAGATAAATTCAAATAGTTTTTTTTTAAAAGTCCCCTTTCGATTAAAGTAGATCATCTGCATTCCCACATGACACATTTATGGACAAATCCCACCTTCCTATGATTATACAGGCGAGTCTCATCTTACGCGGGGGTTCCGT